CTCCCTCCCTCCCTCCCTCCCTCTCTTTCTTTCCTATTTTGGTCTCTGACAACAGAATTCTATCCTAAATTATTAGGGGGAGAAAGATATGTAATGGAAAAGGTTACTGGTGGATTTCTTATTAGTTGGATTGAGTCACAACTAAATTCTGAAAGTTCCATGAGCCCCCAGAGGCTCCTCTTTCTGGTCTCACACTCACTGGCATGGGCCCAGTCCCACCTCCCCCACCATGGTCCTGCATCCCTTTCTCAGCTGAGCTCTTTTGTTTGAATTGTTTTCCATTAACCTTGCGCACCCAAGTATTCCTCAGCTCAAAGGAGGTGCCAATATGCCATATCCCGATGACATATGCCAATGTCTTCTACCATGATTTAGGGAATATTTAATGTTCTTGTGCCTACTCACATTGCTGGCTCCACTCCCCACCCCCTTCTTTCCCCTGAACTGTTTTCTCTTGAACTCTGCTTTCTGAGATTGCCAGAAACTCTCTTGCTTCTGGACCTTGGCACCTGCTCCTTGCGATGCCTTCCCATTCCTCCCCAGCCCCCTCCTCCTATGCTCCAGGTCACTGGGCTAGCATCTGTTCATTTCAGCATTGAATGGATAGTCCTTTCCTTCTGAAAACTTCTAGAATAGGGTATGGGGCCTCCGACACCTTGGATTTTACCCATGACAGCAAGCAGGTTTTCCCCAATACCCAGCTCACTAGTTTGCTTCCCCTTAAGTCTGCATTTGACCAGAGTCTATTCATAGCTCTAGTGTTGGACACAACGCTTGGTACTTTGCTGTCACTCAGGAGTTTTGTTTGTTTGTTTGGGATCTTTTGTTTTGTTTTGTTTTTTTAATGTTATGTGGGTACCACAGAAGCCAGAAGCAAGTTTTAGATCCCCTGAAACTAGAGTTCCTGGTGTTTGTGAGCCACTTCATGTGGGTGCTGGTAACTGAGCCCCAGTCCTCAGCAAGAGATGCAAGTGCTCTTAACTACCAAGCCATCTAGATTTCCAGTTCCAGTCCCTCAAGAATTTAAATAATAAGGAAAGGACTTAAAAAAGGAAGAGAAGATAAGGGAAGGGAAGGGAAGGGAAGAAAGAAAAAGAAAGGAAGGAAGAAAGAAAGAAAGAAAGAAAGAAAGAAAGAAAGAGAGAAAGAAAGACAGAAAGAAAGAAAGAAGAAAGAAAGAAAGAAGGAAAGAAAGAAAGAAAGAAAGACAGAAAGACAGACAGAAAGGAAGGAAGGAAGGAAGGAAGGAAGGAAGAAAGAAAGAAAGAAAGAAGAAAGAGAGTAAGAGAAAGAAAGAAAGAAAGAAAGAAAGGAAGGAAGGAAGAAAGAGAGAAAGAAAGAAAGAAAGAAAGAAAGAAAGAAAG